TTGGACGAAGGCTACTCCCTCCTTCGTGAGTTTTGAAGATCTTGTATTGAGGGGCTTATATTAAATGTAGGAAAATAAAGGTCTCTATGTATAGCAGAGAGAGACAGTTTGGAGACAGAGAAAGGGGATGTGAAGCAAAAGTGAAGGGATTACAAAATATGCCTACATGGATTCCAAATCCCGAGAGTTAGTTCTTCACATGGTTTGAGGCCCAAGCCCCGTAGATACAAACAGAAAGCCCTTCAAGAATCAATCTAAACATCGAAAAACCCTTCTGCCGCCCGCTGAATTCGAGCGAAATGCTGTTTGCCTAGCCACTCCCACATCAAAACCGTAATGAGGGAAATGCATCCCTGAAGAGGTAACCCTATTTCCACTGAACACTATGGGCCTAGACCCGGCGGGTGTCGAATCCACCCTCTCCCCTAATCCAGGGTGTCAGGCGTCACCGTGCCCATTGAATGGTTTGCAGTCAGGGGGCTTTCTGACTGTATTCTTGTGGCGCCTCCCGGATACCTGTCCGCCGCCGGGAGTAACAGTGGCCTTGCTGCGGCATAGGGCTCTCGGCTCAGTATGTGACCAAAGAAGAAGATGAATCTCGGGAAGCGCATCGACGGCGCAGACATGAAGTCCTGCAAGGCCCAAGCAGTTTCGGTCTTCCACAGAAGCTGGAAGGAATCATAAGCGCCCAGAAGGAAGGCAAACCTCCAGGCTACCGGTGGAACTAAAGCCCATGAGGGAATCGAAGTCGGTGAAAAAGCTGCGGACGATCCGTAGAGTCAGTATGGTCGGCAGGGACAGGCGATACGAAGTGGAGAGACCTCGACGCTGCCACAGCATGCCATCCTAACTTCAGATATACGACGAAAGCCATTAGTTGGCGGCGAAGCTGCATACAACTCTGCCATCGAAAGCGTCCACTTTTGATTATCTATAACCTATAAGAGTTTCAGTATCCAGGCCGATAGTACCGTGCTTTGTAGCCCTCGAAATCAGAGAGATACAATTGTCCGAGGAAGTATTTTGTATAGCGCTACTAAATTAAATAGCTACATATGTATCTCTTGTAGCTAAACATGGAACACCACTTTGCAATCGGCGTTGCCCACTTTCCGAGTAGAAGGATGAAGAGGACACGACCACATGACGAGACAGGGCTACATGGGGTTATGCATTCTTAACAAGCGTACCAAACGAAAGAATGATTCGCGGGCTTTCACTGCTTTTTACGGTGTCTCCCGCATACCAACAAAAAAAAAAGGCACTTGCGATGATATGAGGAAGTGTCGAGCTATCTTCTTGTCCATTTCCTCGTCCTGGTTTTATAAAGCTATTTAACCGAATAAAGACTCGGACGTCATAAGCGAGGAATAGTAATGAATTGGTTGTCCCCAGAGTAATGACCAGCCACTAACTGCGCCAATACTCGCTAAATATTCTTCTTTGGCTTCCGGAAACATACCACTGCACCGGGAGATTTCAATCTTCTCCACCAAGCACTACACGGAATCAGCATTGAAATGAAGTGAACGACAGAAAATTGAATAAAAATAGGGCAACGTAGCACCGCAAAAATGCGGCCAAGCCACGCTAAATGAACCAAATACAAAACCAAAAACAAGACACACAAAGAGCACCAACAACAAAATGCGTTGACAGGCCGGTGGCAAATTGAAACGCCACATTCCGCACACAGTTCGCCTGCAGCGTCAATACTGTCGAACCCACCAACGCCGCCACCTTCGCACCTGATGTTGTGCGCTGAGCGAATTGGGAATTTCGAAGCGGCGCACGTTGATTGCACTAATGAAAGAGGGGGTGCCGAAAATGGAATTATGAGTAAGTACATAGAGCCCAGCATTGTTGCACGCCACGGCGTTGCAGGCAGGAAAATGGACAGATGGAGGCCCGTGAATGAATCGGTGAGCAAATCGCATCAGTGCAGAGACAAATGCGATAATTGCAGATTAACAATGAGGTGTGCGGGACCTGTGATGGGTATGCAGGCTGCGAAGGAAAGGGCAACGGCACAGTAGTGCTGAAAGCAAATAAATTGAAAACTGATTTCGGTGCGCCAGCCGAGCGAGGGAATGCTTGAAAGGCGAGTAGAGCGGCGCGCATGGGTGTGAATTATATGCACCCGTTCTACGTGCGTCTAGCACCCAGCCCCAGCTTGGCTGAGTGAGTGGCATGTCTGACGGTTGATTTCATTGGAATTTAAATGCCAGTGTTTGTGCGACAAATCACTTTTTGCATGGGACGCGTGCAAAGAGCGCAACGGCGAGTAAATAGATGAATAAGTCGAAAATAAATACGACGCTTGACATCAACAGTTGCTCATCTCAGCTGCGCTTTTTGTGTGCAATCTTCTGCCTTGCTTTTTCCCACACACACACACACCCGCACCCAACTACTATATTAGATTCTTTATCAACTTGTCTGTATCGCTGTCAACCAGCGCTAAATCGAGGACAACAGCAAATGTAATTAATTTTGTGAGTAATTTTGAATTTATGCATGTCTCAAGTGCCCTTTCATGAACTTTGGGGGATTTTGATTTTTATTATTCTTGCTATTGCTGATGAAGATTAGATCTGTTTAATGCTAAACTCAAGCGCTGAAATGCGCTTTTGTCTCTTTTGTGACATTGGCGGACATTGAACTGACTTACGCAGAAGGCAGCCAGCAGTTGGAGTGCAAAGAATGGCGTCGTGAGTGGCACAAGTGATGTCAGCGTGGGGGAGTGATGTGTTGAGCCAAAGTAGCTGTTGGCTGGATTGTTTACAGATTGCAGTGAGAGAGAGAAATGGCGAATCTTCAAGTGAGGGCGCAATTTCGGCTAAAATAGTTGCAAATCTTATGTAAGGCAATTGAAAAACAGTAGGCAAGATATGTAATGTGAAACAATTTGCTTATTCTGGCACGAAAGTCTTACACAAAAAACGCTGCAAAAGTCGCAATGGCCGAGTGCGCAAAGCACTGGCGGGGCATTCGAAAGATATCAGGTTCGAATACTCAGGCAGCGGTTTTTTTTCTCTATTTTAATTTAAATTTGTTTTAGTTTATTTTCTTTTAATTTTAAGGTTTTATTGTTTCCAAAAGAAGAATAAATATTTTTTTTTTTTCAATTTCCGAGTGAGCAGACACTGCCGTGCTATTCGAGTGATACCAGGTTCGAGTCCTCGGGCAGCGGATTTGTTTTTCTCGTTTTTAATTTAAATTTGTTTTAGTTTATTTTCTTTTAATTTTTACATTTTAAAAAGAAGAATAAATATGTTTTAATTTAAATTAATTTTTTGATACATAATACATTTTTTATTTTCTTTAATTTTCTGTTCTTTCGGTTTTCTTTAATTTTTAGATTTTATTTTAAGAAGAAAAAAATTTAAAATATTTTTGTTATGTCATATACATAATTGTTAAGATCCTTTTAAATTTACTTTTCTTTTAATTTTTAGACATTATTACTTAAAAAGAAATATATATTTTCGGGTTTAATTAAATTTTCAGAAACATGTTTTATTTATTTGCTTATTTTTTAATTTTATTTTCTCTAAATTTTTAGATATTATTGTTTTAAAAAGAAAAATGTTTATTTATTTGCTTATTTTTTAATTTAATTTTCTCTAAATTTTTAGAAATTATTGTTTTAAAAAGAAAAATGTTTATTTTTTATTAAATTTAATTAGGAATATATTTTTTAAATTTAATTTTCTTATAGTTTTTTAATTTAATTCTTTTAAGAAGAAATATATATTTTTGAATTTCATTTAATTTTTGGAACCATATTTTATTTAATTTTTAATTTTTTAATTTTATTCATATTTATCGTTTTTATTCACATAATTTTTTTTTCTTTCCTTAATTAAATTAAATTTTAATTTGTAGTTTTTATTGTTTTAAAAAGAAAAATTAATTTTTAGAAAACTTATTGCTGTAACGCTGGGACCCTCTCATTAGCAGATCATTCAATTAGTCCTTCGAAAGAGTGACAAGAGCTTTCAAGATAGTTGCCAGAATGGACAATTGCATTAGGACAGACTTTGGCTTTCGAATGGCTGCGGTGGGTTGATAAGCAATTGCCAAAATTATCCTGATAGTCTTAGTTGTTGTCATAGCCAAAAGTGCACCAAATAAATAGTATACAACATTATTTGATTAATCAACTTCATTTTGACTTAATTTGTGTTATTTGTATTTGTTAATTTCCAAACGTATGCAATTCTCAAACGGTGTATAAAAATGTTTTATTAAATCGTAACTTTCTGGCATTATAATTTATTTTCTTATAATAGGGAATGTGGATAGTGTGAGAAGGAAAGACTGGGTGAGAAAGAGAGTGACAAAGTTTCTGTTAAAATCTTATTTTTGCTGTTTTAGTCACACTTCAAAGACACAAAATTACGAAAAAGAGATGTCTTGTGTATAAAATATAGTCGCTATGGAGGCACATCTGTAACACAATGCGACCTTAAGTTATAGACGGTCGCCTTAAAAAGGAGCACTTTCTCTTCTATGCAATTCAGGTTCGTCGGACCTCCAGCTTAATGACAAAACGACCTAAAAAGCAGATGAGAATGGGAACCATTAAGACATATTCAAACGAGTGGATGCTACCGGAACGAACTAGTTTTACATATCTTTGTCAAGAACTGTAATTTTAACAGCATTACATTTGAACTCCAAGCGCATTATCTATACATAGGTAGATGCACGATGCACGCAAAAGTACTAAATGTGAAATTAAAAAAGCTTTCGAAAGAATTATTAAAGTCTACGCGGCACCTCCTTTTTATCTCACTGGGTTGACGTTCACAAAACTTGTTCGCTCGTTTTGACAGTGACATAATAAATGTAAAATTTCTCTGCAATGTAATTTCTTCAATTTAATTGTTTCCTTTTCAGGAAAAAAATGTTCCTCTGAACTGCAAAATTTTAAGTATTCTACCCAGCTTCCACAAAGAGGCTTCCTGGAATCCAACGCATGCACACAGTGCCAGATGCAGCCGCTTGCGTCTTCCACCGCACCCACAGAAGAAATTCAATGCAAACAGCACGCGGCTGCAAGCGCCATCGCCAGAGTGACTGTGAGTAAGGCCATCGATGAGGCGGTCGCCTGGATACTATCCGACCCGTCGGAGTGCTTTCTCTACAAGTTCCCCCGCGAATGCGAGCAACGACCCAACACCAACAATCGCCTGCAGCTTGCGCAAATCGCCGCTTTGGAGACCTACGGCGCCTCAACTTCGGCGAAAGAGCGGCGGAGCAGCGTGCGTGCAGTCACCAAATCGAATGTGCGTAGACGCATAGACTGGCTGCGCATCGACGAGGTCTCGTTGCATCGGGTCGTGCAGTTGGTCTACGATTACCTCAGCTTATGGCGCCTTACACCGAACACCCAGTACTTGGTGCGATTGGAGAAAAATGCGCTGTGCGAGGAGTCACAGGGACGCAGCTATTGCCTGAGTGCGCTCTTCACGCGACAGCCACAATGCGATTTGGAGCACTGCCGTCCACTGGCGATGGCGCAAGTCAACTTCAAGGTGCACGTCTCGCATTTGCTGCCGAAATTTTATCCGGTCATGATGACGTATCGCTTTGAGAATTGCAACACAGTCTACTATGCGCTGGGCCATCGAAGGATGCGGCGCTTGGACTTTCAGCGGTTCTTCATCGATATGGCGCTCGAGACGAAATTCGGCTTCTATGCACAGCTTTTGAGGACGCTAGCGCTTAGCCCCTCAAGGAGGTTTATTGTTAAACAGCGAGGAAGCAAAAGTGAAGAGGAGAAGAAGGAAGGCGCGGAGGCGAGAACAAAGCGACTGAAGTCGTCGGCGCCTTTATGCATTTGCGCAGCAGAGGAGAGTGTGAGCCAAATGAAGAAGAAGAGTAGCAGAGATAAAGAGCAAACGGTGAATGTGAGTGCGCAAGAGAATGTGAGAGGAGCTAGTGAGAATTTGGTGATGACCGCAAGCTGTAGTCACGTGATGACATGTGATATGAGGTCGGCAGAAAGCAGGGAAGGCAACAGTGAAAATTCAGGTTCATTAAAGAAATAGAAAAAAGAAACAAGCGCGCATCGTTAGATTGGATGTGAAAATGGTCAAAAAGAGCTGAGAGTAACCAATAAATTATACGCAAATACCAACTATTTAATCAATTAATGTTTCTTACTTGTAGGTTGAGCGTAATAAATCACAAGGAGTCCCGAACACTTAGCAATAAAATGGAAAGATTCTGAAAGTTTCCACAAAATTTCAGAAGAAATTAATAAAAAAATGAAGGCAAACTTGTCTGCTAAAATTAGGAAAAATGCCAAATAGATAAAAAAATCTTTAGCATATCTGTAAACTAAAATAAAAACATAAAATAACCCAAGAAATCACGAATAAATTATCTATGCCCTAAAAATAAAGCAAAAAGTATTGCAATTTCTTTCTTAAACTATACAAAAGTGTTGATAAACAATTAAGTTAAAATCCACCGTTGAACCACGAAAAATAACAAAAAAATCATAATGAAGCACAAGTGGTCACGAAAAATCTTAATTTATCCCGTAAAATCACGAAATGTTTCGAAAAATGCAGAAGAATTCTAAAAATTATCGAAAAAATTCAAAAAGGTCCTGAAAAATTAAAAAAAAAATCGCGGAAAGCTGCTGAAAAAATTCAGAGAGGCTCCGTCGAACAATCCAAAAAAGGCCAAAAATACCGAAAATCACGAAACACTAGTTTTATATTTATAAAAAAATTAAAAAAAAAAATCTCGAAAAGTGCTGAAAAAATTCTGAAAGGTTCCATCAAAAAATGCCGAAATGCCGAAAATCACGAAATATTAATTTTTATATTTATAACGAAATTCAAAAAGGTTCTGAAAAATTTGTAACAAATCGCGGGGAGTGCTGAAAAAATTCAGAAAGGTTCCGTCGAACAATCCAAAAAAGGCCAAAAATGCCTAAAATGCCGAAAATCACGAAATATTAGTTTTTATATTTATAAAAAAAAAATTCAAAAAGGTGAAAACTTAAAAAAAAATCTCGAAAAGTGCTGAAAAAATTCAGAAAGGTTCCGTCGAGCAATCCCCGAAAATGCGAAAATTACGAAATCTTAGTTTTTATATTTAGAAAAAATAAAAAATCGAAAAGATCCTGACAAATTTAAAAAAAAAATCTCGAAAACTGCTGAAAAAATTCTGAAAGGTTCCATCGAACAATCCCAAAAAATGCCGAAAATCACGAAATATTAGTTTTTATATTTATAAAAAAAAAAATCAAAAAAGTCCTGAAAAATTAAAAAAAAATCGCGGAAAGCTGTTGGAAAAATTTAGGAAGGTTCCGTCAAACAATCCCAAAAAATGCCGAAAATATCAAAATATTAGGTTTCACTTATATTTATAATATAAAAGCCCGAAATATGGACACTCGGTTAAAATATTAAAGAAAAAGTAAAACTGCCTTATTCATAAAAAATAAAGTAGCCTTATAAAAGGTTTATAAATTGAAAAATGTATGAAAACGTCAATTTATAAAGCTCTTTAAACCTACTTTATTTTTAATGAATAAGGGCAAAAAGTGTTTTAAGTCGTGAGAAAATTATAAACCACAGAAAGAGAGGATCTTTGAAAAAATTGTCTTTGTTAATAACAGAAATAAAGCTCTTTTAGCTCAGAAAAGCGCTATAGAAGTTGACTTTTCCTTATCTTTCTTATCACTTTCAAACCACCTCCAAAGCTGTAGGTAGTGCCTAAAAGTATGCAAATTTTCATTTAAGTGAACTTTTCTTTAATAGGAAAATGTGACTCTACAGCACTGATGGGAACTGCCTTGCCCGCGGGCAAAGCTCTTTTAAGCTTTCTATACATTTTGTATAGGCGCGAGCAGAGTAAAAGCCCTCTCTGCCCAACGCTGCTCTACAGTTAGTAACATTGCTTCAATTATTTCAAGCTCTGAACCCATCAATTCTCCAGCCAAGAAAATTTTGGCCAATTTTTACGAAGTGTCATTCTGAGAAAAGTTGCAATAGCGAATGAGGCTTGGTTTTTGGAATCTGCAGCTTTTCTTATTTTCAACGGGTCGGTGCCATCCCTAGTCAGCTTTTGATTGGTACTGGCAAGGAAAATAGATTGAGCTCCTAAAATCAGCACAGCTTTTTTTTAACTCTTATAGTTTTTACTGGGTGTAAAAATTTTATAGCTTTATTTTAAAGCAGCCGTTTAGGCTCTAAAATTTTAAATTTAATTTTCTTATGAGATACATTAATTTTTAAAAATTCTATGCAAGAACTAAATAACTTAAATGGGCTTCGAGGTGCTAATGGCCGAATCTGAACTGCATGTATGTACATATGTATGCGATATGTGTGCAATATTTTCCAAGAACTGTTGCTACTAGCAACTAATAAAAAATGCACCGAATACCCTTTTTGAATGCAAAAGGAATAAAAGTGCGAAATTTGTTAGCACCAAAAGAAAAGGAAGCTATTACTAGCGATTAAAAAAAGCGCACATATGTATGTATGTATGTACTTGTGTATACATGAACACATACATATATCCACAAATATTAAAAAGTCTGCAACGCAACCAAAAGTTGAGCTCGCTGGCTCTGCTGGCCATTTTGCTCACAGCTTTCTAGCCACTAGCTGCTACTAAACCACCATTTTAGCTGTCGCTCCATGACTTTTTAATGGTCAAATCGGCCACTGAAGCGTACGACTTGGGCTTGGGCTTGAGCTCGTAAATATGCGCGCGAAGGTACATAAAAAAGATGGGACTTGGGATTTTCAAAGCGAAAAAATAAATGGAAATGAAAAAACAATCGAGTAGGAAGAATAATAAAAGCAGCAGTGACTTTGGAATATGTTATGGTTGAAAAATTAATATTTGATAGTGGAAGAATTGGCAAGTGAAAGCAATAAAAGATGCAGAGCGATGTTATGAGATAAAAATTAATTGCATACTGTTAAAAGTAACCGCACCTGTGGTGCACTCAGATGACCGCGGATGCAAAAAGTCGAGATTTTCCTACCATTTTTTAACCGTTGGGAATAGTAAATCAAAAAAACGCGGCGAGTAATTGAGTTGTACTGAGATGGAATAGGCCATGCTTTGCAAGCTTTGCAAAGACGTTATGTACGAAGAAGCTCTATTTGATCGTCACTGCTTTAACGCGGGGCTGGGCTCTAGTCTGCCCGCGGGGAAAGCACTTTAAAACTTTGCATATATTTAGTATAGAAAGCTTGAAAAAGCTTTGCCCGCGGGCAAGCTGATGCCCACCACCGCTCTAAAACAATAATTAGTAGAGAGAGCTTTTATTTACCCCGTGAACGTCTTTTAGAGCGGCGATCGGTACTGCTTTGGTAGCGGGATTAGCTTTTATAAACCTTTCCTTCTGCTCTAAAGCACAATTGGCCGCTTCATAATAAAAACCGAAAATACTTTTAAAAGCTCTATGCGAGAACGACAAATGCCAGCCTATGTTTATTACCCTACTTTTGAACTTAGATTAGTAAAGGGAAAGTAACGGACCAGAGGGAGTTTTAGAAATTACTACGTTAAAATTCGATCGCTAAAATCTCTCAAAAAATCATAGGTTCGCCTAAAAATATGCAAAATTAAATCCAGTGAATGAGCGGAAGCTAATATTTCGCTAGACACGTTGCTTTTATGGTCTGGTATGATTTGATAGTATACTTTTAGGCATTAAAGGCTTATATTACCTAATCTAACTCTTACCACGCTGAGTTTCGCACTAAACGTTTTTGATTGCAGTACTCATATTGAGTACTCATGTGGTTTGAAAGTTGGCTGAGAATTCGTGAAACGGAATATTTTTTCCGCGGCGCCGAAATATTAAGTAGTTTTTTTTTGGAAATATCTTGTAAATGGTTCCAAAAGGCGTCTTTTGAAAAATTTTTTAGTTTGCTTTTTATTCGCATTTAAAAAATTTGATAGGGGCTTCTTTGATTATTAATTTAGGAAAAAGTAGGTTATCAAATGACTTCGGGGTCTGCGAAAATTTAATGAACTTTATGAAAATGAGATTTTTCGACATAGCGGAAAAAAGTGATCCGTTCGACGAAGTCTCACCCAGTTATTATGCCTACTTCTGCTCGCCCTCTCAGCGGGAAAACACTGAATTAAATTTAAACTGATCATAAAACTGATTTTTATGTTCCGCTATTAAAGGAGCAGACTGGCTTACTGAACGCAGGTAAAATAATGGGAGGAAGAACTTAAAAGTTCTTGAGGGGAAAACAGTAAAAAAAAGTAAAATAACCACAAGCACAGCTAAGAATAATAATAATAAATGAAAGAAATTGCTTGTACAAGCCATTGAGAATTATATGAGCCAGTGCAGTAAATTTTCTTATTGGTGGAATGCACACACATTACTACTTACATATGTATGTGCATATATGTATACAGATAAAGATATAAAACGTCATACGGGTGCTAAAAATATTTATGTGTCTGTTCACTTACCAGCGTTATGTGCGTAGACAGAGGGCAGTATTATTGAGGTATTATCTGTTGCAGCAAGCATTTGAAGGCAAATAAAAATCCTCTTTGGATATGAATTTTGTAGATATTTTGCGACAAAGAAAAACACTTATTTGCCAAGTACGAGTATTTTGGGTGATACAAGTTTTTCCTGAAAAAAAAATATAAAAGGCGGATTTAAAAATTGAGTTTTTTGAACTTTGTAAAGGAATTGAATAGTGAGGAGAAACCGATGTACATAGCTGTGAATGAAATACTTTTACATCTTAAAGTAAAAACTGGACATACATTTTTGGACTTTTGAAAATTAAGCAACAATTTTGAAAATTTAAAAACAAGACACATTTTTTGAAAAACTAAAAACTAGATACTAATTTTTGACAATTTAAAAATAACACACAACTTTTTGACAATATAAAAGTTGGATATAAATTTTGGTCATTTAGAAACTTGAATACAATTTTTTTCTACTCAAAACCTGAACATGGACATTTTTAACAAGTTTCAAAAACTGTTGGTAGTTAAAAAACAGGACAGTTGAATATAAATATTGGCCATTTAGAAACTGAAATACATTTTTTTTCACTCAAAAATTGAACATAAATTTTTGGCCATTTTAAAAACTAATCAAAAATTTTTGAAAATTAAGAAACAAGATGAAAATTTGATACATATTTCAAAAACGGGACATAAATTATTGAAACTTAAAAAATGGCTTTTTCTGGCAATTTACAGCCGGCCATAAATTTATTTAAAAACTTGTAGTTAAAAAACAGGACATTAAGCTATGTCCATTTAAAAACTGAACATAACTTTCAGCCATTTTGAAAACTGTTCAGAAACTGTTGGTAGTTAAAAAAACAGGGCATTCGTTTTTATAATTTAAAAAGTGGAGATTAAGTTTTGGTAATTCAAAGACCGTACTTAATATTCAGTCATTTTAAAAACTGTACAAAATTGTTGGTAACTAAAAAACCTGAACATAAATTTTTATAATTTATAAAGTGGACTCTAAGTTTTAGTCACTTAAAAACTGAACATAATTTTTGTCCATTCAAAAGCTGTTCAAAAATAGTTGAAAACAACATTAAGTGTTGGAAATTTTAATTTGGAAGTACTTTTGGTGTTCTAAAAAAAATGCGACTTACATTTTTGGCACTTTAAAAAGTAGCCATAAAACTGGCGGTGGTAAGTGAATATGAACTTCGGCATTTTAAAGACTATTCACACATGCATTCAGTTAGAAGCAGTAAACCGTTAAAGCACAAAAAGTGCTGATGTGAACGAGAAAAATTATACACAAATTGGTTTATAAATAATCATGGCTTTTTTAGAATGCCAATCCTTTATTTCTACATTTTGAATGACCAAAAAATTATAGCCAGTTTGGAAATAAACAGAAGAGTAATGTCCTTTTTTGAAATTCCAAAAAATTTATTTCCAGTTTTTCAATAACCGAAAATTTATATACAGTTTGCAAATGTGCAAAAATTTATGTTTAAAATTTGTTCATCAAATCAAATGTGGCCTACAATTAAAACTATACATTTTACTTGGAGAGCCCAAAAGTATGCAGAATTAATGCTAAGGTAATATTCGGCTATCATTTGATTCGTACCCCAATCCAAGCACATTGACTTTACCAAACGGTTTATTAAATAATTTGAGAAAAGCTGACTGGCTAAACGAAAAAATGGCAAGATTTTCCGTTAAAAAGCTGCTGCGCCTAAAAGCGTGCTTCTGCTCTTACTCAGACTTCACTTTCTTTCATTTAACTTCCCTAATACCTTTCCTAGATTATTTTTTGCGCTTGGCATGCACTTAAAGCCAATTTCGTATGCTACACGTCAAAGATTTGTGCTGAAAGAATGCACTAAAAGCTAGAAAATGTAAGTAATTAGCTACTTTGTGCACTCACACATACAAAAGCAAGTCAATGCAAATGCGCCTGAGGCGCGCGCTTGATTAAGATTGAATGCCTCAAAGAGCGAATCGGGCCCGCGCAATTAAACCAAAGTAAATTGATTGACTGGCGGGTAAAAGCGCATACACAAACACATACATATGTATGCATGTAGTTGTATGAAACATATGTGTGTAAGTGTGCGCGCAGTTAACCGATTGATGTATTCACAACATTCAAACACGCGTGCCGCACACGCTCATTGATTTTGCAGCGCACGTCGCCATCAAAGACAAGTAAGCGTTTAATTTCACATTTTCGCAGCGAACGCAGCAACTACATACATACTACAAATATGTGAATCGAGCAAATGTGCAACCGGACGGAAAGGGCAGCGGCATTGAAGTCAATTTAAAGCACGTGCCGACGCTGAGAAATTCAAAGCTTAATTATTAATGCCGGAGTTTAGTTTAAATTCAAACAACGCAAATCGCATTCGATTTCGTCTCAATCCTTTCACGCGACACACACACACAAGGTATTAGTTTCACATCAAATTCGCAATTTCGATATTGCAATGTAAGAGTGAAGAGCAAACAGCAGGCAGCAAGCAGCATCGAGCAGCAGTGCAGTGAGAAATAAATAAATAAATAAAATAAATTCAGAAAAAAAACAACCTGCGACTTAGCAAAAGGCAGCAGAAATAGAAATAAATTATATCGAATGCTCCAAAGCCGTTGCATGTAAATAGAGCGCGCGCGTGTGTTTGTATGTTGGTTGCGCACGCGTGCATATGTAAAAAAAACTGACTTATTTATTCATTTCAGTGCTTTGAAAATCGAAGAAATTGAAAGGATACGCACGTGCGGATGGCGACGTGCTAAAAGTATACCACACACATATGTACCTACACACACAGAGACTGACTTGAGAGAGTAAATGTGCGGCCTTCGCATGCCACTCTTTGATTTACACATATCAGCTGCCAGTGCGCCTAAATGTATGCAATACAAGATGCAAATACATTTTTTACAATTTAGATTTATCGATGTCAGCTTGTGCGGCCTTGCCGCTCGTTTTGGAGTAGATTTTTATTTTTCAAGGAGCGCGAAAATAAACCGAAATACTTTTGTGGTCTATGATGGAAGCAAAAGCTATGAGGAAAAAATTATTTCTCAAATTTTTCAACACAAAGTCCGTACATTCTTGCAATTGTGTATCACTAGAATTCATTTACAACACAAGTTTACAAAATTACAGAATCAGCGGAAAATTTTACATAGGGAATGAAGGACAAATCTTACAGGTTGGATTTCTTGTAGACTAGTGTAAAAATTTGTATGCAAAAATAAAAATATTTTCATGAATGTGACATTTATTCGCTTTGTTCCAAAAATACCGGTGAGTAACATATTTTATTTCAAACTAGCACATACCCAAAAAACAAAAGTGTTTTTGTGCTGTTTGATACCCGTTTTGTAATATTTCATTCATTTTATAAATTTAATTGAATAAAATTTTCCAATTAAGTGGAAATGCTTCCCAAAAATATTTTCGGCAGTAAACTTACCTAAACCTTTTCAGTTTGATACCCATATTGCAATATTAAACTTATCTTATTAATTTAATTTAATAAAAATTTTCAAACAGGTGGCAACCCTCAAAAAAATATTTTAGGCTCTAAGCCTTCTTAAACGTCTTTCTTTTGACAGCCATATTACAGTATTTACTTTTTCTTATCAATTTACTAAAACTGCAATTTTCAAACAGGTGGCAACTCTTTAATTTATTTTCTTTCTATATTTTAAGTTAGACTTCTAGAAATACATCGGTGAAAAGTGCATTCAAACATACAGACAGATAGACAGACGAGACACTTTGGTTGATTTTATTCTCAAACTCGATATTTTTTACTTACATACTTTGCATACTTTTTGGCATAATTAGTTCGATATCGCAAAAAAAAGACAATGAGTTTTGCAAATTGCTTCATGAAACATCAGTTGATAATTTTTACTCAAAAAGATACGCTTCGGATATTTTTATGCACAATTTCGATATTTTCTAATAAAGTCGCATGCTTTGAGTCAAAGTTGCATACTTCATCATCAATGATTCATTCACTTCCACTGGTATTACCCATTCAACGCCTCATTCTAAATTTTGAGTTCCTTCGTATGTGTGCATAATATAATGTCGGGTTGCAAAAATAAGTATGTCTATTTAGCATAGTTTTTAGTCTTAATTTGTTATTTTTCAACTGCCGTGTACGCATTTTTATTTATAAAATTTATTATAAAATTCCTTAATTTTTGCAGATCAATGTATTTGTTCGCCAAATTTTCTATGACATGGTTTATGCCCACCTTTTTGGTAAATACACAGGTATTCCCCCAGTTTTACCCAATTTTCCCATTTTACCGGGTATTTACCCTTTTCCCATCTCTAATAATTTTTAGATTTTATATAAAAACAAAACACATTTTTTTTTCCAATTTTGGTTTATTTCCCGTTGCATTTTCGCTTTTTTTTCTAAATAAAATAGAAATCTTAAATCTTTTCCTCCATATTTTTCTTTAGGTGGCCAGCGGAGAGTTAGCTGACAAATTAGTGACTTTTTTTAGGACTAGAGACTTGAATACCAAATAGTCTAAAAATCGATGCTCACCACGAAAAATCACTATTAGTGACTAGAGACTGCGTACTGAATCCCAGGGTAAGTTGGTAATTCAGTTTTCTTGAGCACCAAAAATTCATACTTTTTGACAAATAAGTAAATAAGTCATGCTATGCCTATAAAGCTTAATAATTTATTTAAACTAACTAAAACCTTCACACAATCAAGATATACCGTATCGAAAAATTTTCTATCCTATCGCTTTTAACATAAAATTGATATATAAAATTTTTCCAATTTATTTTCCAATAAAATATTCATGAGTTTCAAGCAAGTGTTGTTCAAGCATTTAATTACTTACAGCCGCCACCTAAAAGTATGTTAACCCTAAAAGTACTTCAAACAAAGTCAACGTTCATGCTCGAATAATTATGTATATAGACAACACATGAGCGTAGCATACTTTTAGGATCAGCAATTTAATGTGCAGCTGAGGAACATTTAATTTTGACATAGCGGTTTGTGGCAATATTTTATGTCAAACCTCTTGTAGGAGATGTATTTGTGTGCGCTGCTGTGTGTGTGTGTGTGTGTGTGAGTGCGTATGCGAGCGCTGAGCGTTTGATGGCAA